ATATGATATTCCAACGACATTGGGAGTCTTTAAGGGCAAAGCAATAACCCTTCCTAAATGCCGGAACAGGACTGCCTAGGCACAAAAGGCTTTTGTGGCAAGATCAAATTCAGCCATAACCCCACATCCTTCATACCCCACTTGAGGGCGGAATGAACCGACGGCTTCTGCCAAAAAGATAAACCATAATGATACCAACCCAGCTCTCCAATGTTCCTGTAAGCCTCAAAAACATGATCTAAATGTTGGAAGAGGCCACTACATAGATCCAAGCGTTTCTCCACCTTTACATTAGAAAATGCACAATAAGCTTGCAGCCAATTGTAAAAGGATCTAGGAATCGGCCTCCTCCTATCCTCCTCTTTACCCTCCACAAGCTTATCAGGTCTGCTAGAAAATACCTTAAAAGCGAGGAGGGATAAAATGCCCACAAAATCCCCCCTCCAGATCTTTTCTTTAAAAGACAAGGTCAGGTGAAAACCAAGGGAGAAGACCTCACAAGGCAGCACCTCCTTTATGCATACCTCAAAAACACTGGGCCTAGCTGGGAACATCACGGGCATAGGGGCACTAAATGCAAGGGAACATCCCTGGGACAGACAGAAACAGGAGGAAAAGGACACAGTGGGATCAGGAGTGATGGCAGGAACAGGGGACACAGACTTCACCTGGGCAAAGAGAGGCAACCAAGGAAGACAGCACACCCCATGGGGGGGACTCACCAGCAGCCAGAGGGTTCCCTGCAGCAGCCTGAGTGACATCCTGTTGAGCAGCAAACACTTCTTGCAGGAAAAGCCTCTCCACCTCCGAGAGACACTGTGGGTCCGCCACTGCCGGTTGCTCGGCAACAGGGGAAGCTGCCTCCAAGAGGGATGCAGGGCCCCTCCCACCGGGCACGCTGATAGGCAGAGACTCGGCAGCCCTCTTTCCTGCGGCTCCGACAGCCACGCCCTTCCAGGCTCCTGCCCTCCAGCTGATCTTCAGTAAGATGGCACCAATCTACCTCCGCCCCTCCGTCACGCCACCTCGGCCACTCCGGTGGCCGGCTCCGCGGCGCGCCGGACCCCTGGTCGCACTCGTGGGCACCCTCTGACTCTCTCCTGGCCCTGCAGGTGACACCCTGTTGCAGCCGACCAGTTCTGGCGGGTCTCGTCTTCAGCCAATACCAGGCAATAGCGCAGCCACTCCTCCCCATCGCCCCTCTCCAGGAAGCGCTGCATGAGTGATTTTTCTTTAGGCCATGGCAGATATGTCCATCCCCCAGCAAGGAGCTCTTCTGCTTGCAGACTGGCCACTGATCCCAAATGATTCAGGTGCCCCTTATATCCTGTCCCGCTGATGCTCCAGAATTTTCCATGACTCCAGATTGGATCCTTCTGGAACTCTGCTTTGCATAACTTAAAGGAACCATCACCCATAAATTCCCCACAAGTGCCAAACCTACCACTTAATACTTTAATCATATCCCAGCCTGAGAGGGGAGTGGCCACAATCCCACAAAAGTGGTCCCAAAGGTTTGTGCCCACTTTAGTCATTGGTTTCTATGCAGAGGTGCACCAGATTTTACACTCTCCAGTTTTAGTAAATAAGCCCCATAGTGTTGTAGGGCATGTCTTTTACCAGGTTTGGCTAGTGATAACAAGGCTTATTTAGACTTTGGAATCTAGCAAACAGTTAGATGGCCACCTGCAGAAAGCAGACAACTCCCATGAGAATGGGAGTGATTTTCATTTGACCTATTTTTGTTCTGTTCCTCTGATCTGGTGGTTTGATTTTCTTTCTTTCTTTTTTTTTCTTTCTTTCTTTCTTTCTTTCTATACCTACTTGTAAAGGGTGCAGAAAAGAAGACTAGTTTCAGTCTGACCTAAAATCTCTTCTGTTGCAAGCTCATGCTATGTTTTCCTATTTAATGTTTTTTGTTTTTTTTTTTTCTGTAGCAAAATGGGTACATGTTCCTTTTTATAACCAAGATTGTTTTATTGCTGGATATTTTTGCATGGGAAGTGTGTTTTGAGCAGAGGAGGCTGTCATGATCAGGAGCCATGTTATGTTTAGGCTACATGCTTGTTATTTCTGTATTCACTGGGTTAAAATGGCTGCTTCTAAAGCAGGAGAGCTTTCCAGCTTCTGCAAAGCCTGTCTTCTCTCTCCAGAAAATGTGCTGGAACTATTTAGCAGAGCAGTGCCTTTATCTGGGAAGAAAAGTCTAAGCTGGGGGAAGGGTAGAGGACAAAAAAAACTGGATGATCTGCTTCTTTGCATGGAGCTTTGAAAGTAGAAGTCATCTGCTCTTTGGGTATAAAAGGTTCTGTTATGTAATGGACTGTGCTGAAGAGCCATAGAGTGGGGTTTCATATTTTGTAATTTGAGCTACAGCAGATATCAACCTTTTTCACACAATCCAGTGCTTTGTTCAGAAAGCTCAGAGCTTGACATATTTGATCATTTGAAAGTATCCACCGCAAAGATCTACAGGAGTTAAAATAAAGACAAGCTGTAGGTTTAGATGAAACAAAGCAAATTTCAGCTAAACCTACCAAAGGATTTGTGCTACAGGCTGAAGAAAGGTGAAGTTTGCTTGCTTATACATTTTTTTTTTTTTTTGAGACTAGGTGAATATTTTATGTGGACTTTATAATGCTTTTCCCAGCATTCACATTTAACTCTACCTTCACTAGTTTTACAGCAGTCATTGCAGCTCACATTTTAAATTACTTACAGATCAAAGGTGAAAAGTGTTATTGCAATTGTTTTTTAAATTTGTTTTATTATATCCTTTGAAAGCTGTTTTTGTGTTGTCTCCCCTGTTGCCCATAATAAGCTCAGTGGCTGCAACAGAAAAGGATACACCCTGCACATGAACGGCCCAAAAGAACAGGATGGTGCTCTCTCCCGTGGTACTAGTGGTTGCTGGCCATAATGGTTGATGACATTGGGGTTGGTTTATGAAACGTAGAGAGAAGAAAATCTGGTGCAGCTGTGCATGGTGTCCAATCATCTCCTAACTTCAACTTGTTCAAATAAGCTTTGACAAAAAAACCTGGAAGCCGATTGGTTTCTGTGCAGAGCTGCACCATATTTTGCACTCTCCAGTTTTAGTAAACCAACCCCAATGTTTAAACAGAAGGGGAGCCCTGACTGGTAGATAGGTTTAGCACACTATGCTGCTGTATCTATATAGAGCAGCATAGTGTGATTTTTGGTAATGCTGAACTTACACTTAAAGTATAACTTTAACCAGAACTTGATAAAGAGGAACATCACAGAGCTATAACTAAGCTGGAGCATACTAACAACAAGGCAGAATGGGGGAATTCTAACTATGGGAGATTTTTATCCAGGGTTCCGAGTTGTCACACGTAACCCACAGGCATGGCAAACATATTAATCAACATTTTTCAGATCTGAATATTTTTATTTTTATCTACGGGGGCTCCTTGACTGCATAGGGAATGTTCTTGAAAAAGTGAACTTGGCTTTTAAGCTACCTTGTTCCTTGATTTGTGAACCTATACTCCAAATCTAGTTCGGCTAGCTAACAGGGATCCATTAGCATTGTTGAATGCGGCAAAGCATTCTTAAAAAATGGTACCTTTAGTGTATAATTCCAAAGCACTTCTGAGTTTCTGAGTTCTTCTAGTTTCTGGGCTACCCGTTTGTTTGTTTGTTTTTTTTTTAACTGATCACTGCTGCCTTTGATTACTAGATTACATTCATTGTCATCAGGTGACCTGATTTAGGACCAGAAATAGTTGGTGAAAGCTTGCACCTCTTCTAATATGATGGGTGCTTGCATCCACAACACAAAACTGGGAGAAAATAAATAAAAAATCAGGTTTAGGCAGAATAAAATCTGCATAATGCTTGTAAGTGCTATATCATTCACACTTAACACATGTAAAGAAGGCACTGTAGTTAGAGACACAGGGGGGCTGAAGAATTGCTAAAGGACTTGAGAATGTTCACACAACAAAATGCCCCCCCCCTAAAAAACAAAACAAAAAAACAATCACGTGAAAACAAAATGTCTGGTTACTTTTTTTATGTGCACATAATTGGATAGTTGAAATGAATATTAACATTTTTTGTGTGTTTTCTTAAGACTTTTAGTAAATCAGTTTTATGATCTAAGTTCTTTGATACATTTTTCTTTCAACATGTACATACACTGTATAGTAAATTTTGGGGAATCTTTGTCAGTGAGAGATATTGTACAACATTACCTATGTTTTATCATACAATAGCAATTAAGGCTGATATTTTCAAGTCTGCCTAGTTGATGTTTCTGACATTCAAGATTGTGTTCTCTTTTTTAGTCCATACTCTGTCAGCCTGTTGCATGTTAAAGACTAAATATTTCATGCTTGTTGATCTTTGAAGCCTAATATAGGGAAAGTTATTCCAGAATCACTAAATATTGGGGGTTTAGGTAAAATTTAATTACATCTGATTAGGTTGTTCCAAATGATGTAATGATCATTTGGAAATACTTTGTGGCCACTGTCACTATGTTCATGTGTGTATGTTCTAACAGGTTGATAGAAACATCTTGCTGTACTGTTTACCATTCCTGCCTATTTAACACACAGGCAATACCCTGTGTATCAATGGTGCCATATTTTTTATTTTTGGTGGATTAAGAGTATGAAATGTTGTGTTTTTGTCTTATTTCAATGTTGACTTGTAAGATTTCTGTTGATATGCAAAAAGGCAAATCCTCTTAATGGAGACAAAGTTCAGTAGCACCCAGATATTTGTTTAAATATGTGTTTTAAATAGCAATTATTCAATATCCAACTAAAAGTTTGTTTTTTTTTTGTTCTGTCATCTTTGGTGTATTATAACCAAGTAACCACTTAACCAAACAACACTTAATAGCCCTGCAAATGTTTAATATCTTAAATGAGATAAGTTTGCAGGTTCTGTTGCACAATATAATACAAGTTTGTATGTTCTTTCTGTGTTTCAGAATTTCCTAATGTAAAAAATAACATTAGACCATGGAAGTTCTTCAGTGTGATGGTTGTGACTTCAGAGCTCAATCCTATGAAGATCTAAAGACTCACATACAAGATGTTCATACAGCATTTTTGCAGCCCACAGATGTTACTGAGGAAAGCTCTAGTCAGGCTAGATCTGTGGGTACGAATTCCACCAACCAGTCAGACGCTGTGTTTCCTCCTATGAAAGATGAATTTGTGCCTACAGAAGAAACTCATGGTGGGTTAAATATATTTTGACATTGTTTGTTTACTCTAGTGGTCACTGAGAGTCTCCATTTACTCATGTTGCCTAGTACACATCAGACCAATCATTTCTTATTCAGTATGAGAGCCGTGTCTGATCATAGAATAACTGAGAGGCTGTCTGTTTTCATGTCGGTTTTAGATTGCACTTTTTTTTTTTTAGAGAATATAGTTTAGAACTAATTTTCTTGTTCTTTTTTATTTCAGGTCAGACTACTCCACAAGCAACTACTGGATCATACTACAGTCAGGGCCTTGGATTCTATAGTCTACCTTCTGCAAGCAGTTCTAAGCCAACCAATAAGTTTTTTCAGTGCAAATTCTGTATTCGCTATTTTAGATCTAAATACCTTCTTGTGGAGCATACTAAAAAAGTCCATGGACCTGGAGGAGGGAACTCTGGAGGTCCTGGAAATGTAAATTATAATATTATGTTACATGATGGTTTTGGAAAAGTCTTCTCTTGTCAGTTTTGCACATACAAGTCACCAAGAAGAGCAAGAATAATTAAGCATCAGAAAATGTACCACAAGAATAGTTTAAAAGAAATGTCAGCAACTTCAGTTTCCCAAACCCCCCCTGTATCAATGCCAATGCAAGAAACGTGTAAAGAACTACCAGCTGAAGTAGTAGAACGTAGCATTCTAGAATCTATGGTAAAACCTCTAACAAAGTCCAGAGGGAACTTCTGTTGTGAATGGTGCAGCTACCAAACACCACGGCGGGAGCGTTGGTGTGATCATATGATGAAGAAGCACAGGGGAATGGTCAAAATACTATCAAGTTTAAGACAGGATGGACTAAATATATCAGATCTACAAAATAGAAGTTCTCAAATACCCAATCCTGGATCCAGTTATATGCCTCTAAACATGGCAACACATGATACATCTAATGCTAGTATGTCTGCTTATAGAAATCCTATGAGTAATCTTCCAGGTGGCAATCCATCAAAATATCAGTCAATGCCATATGTTCCAGTGAAACAACCAAAACTGACTGCAAATCCTGTCCTTTTGAATATGTCAGAAAGGTCACCCTATGGAATGTCAGAAAGATCCAGTTCCATGATAGATATGGATGAGAACAGTTTTTTAAATGATTCAAGCTCAGATGATGACTATATTGACTGATGGGGAAAATGGTTTAGGTTCAATGGAACTTGGAATATCTGGAGAACCACTGTTGGGATCTGAGAACAACAAACTGCTGGAGACAAAGGGAATTCCTTTTAGAAGGTTTATGAACAGATTTCAATGTCCATTTTGCCCATTTCTCACAATGCATCGACGAAGTATCTCTCGTCATATTGAAAATATCCACTTGTCTGGAAAAACCCCTGTTTACAAGTGTGATGAATGTCCCTTTTCTTGCAAAAGTCCCCTCAAGCTTGGTGTACACAAGCAGTGCCATGGTGGCACATCATCAGAGTGGGATCCCATGAATTCACTTAGTGAAAGCATGTCTTCATCATTAAATGAAACATATGAGAGTAACAGTATAAATGGCAAAAAACCTGGAAGCATAGCAGACTCTCCTCTCCAGAACCCATACAAATGCACTATGTGCAATTATTCTACAACAACTCTAAAAGGTTTGCGTGTTCACCAACAACATAAACATTCATTTTGTGACAACTTGCCAAATAGTAGTGGTAATCTGGTACATCAATTGCAAGGTGATGAAACAGATATGAACGACTCTAACACAGTAAGAAAGAGTCAAACATCTATTTTAGGATTATCTTCCAAAAATAATTTTGTGGCCAAGACATCTCGGAAAGGATCTAGTGAGTTTCCTTTGGACTTGTCACCTGTGAAGAAAAGAACTAGAATTGATGAAATTGCAAGCAATCTTCAGAGCAAGATCAACCAAAGCAAACATAAGGAGGATGCAGTCATTAATGTGGAAGACGATGAAGATGATGAGGAGAATGAAGTTGAAATAGAAGTAGAATTGGACAAAGAGGAGGATCCATCAGAACAGATGGAGTCAGCAGATCAATATCCTATTCAACAGTTGTGGAATAGAGATCTTGGAATGTCCCCAAAGAACACAAACTTCAGAAACATTCAGAATAATTATTCTGGAGGCAATAGTGCAGAAATTGAGTTGACTTTATCAGATGATGAAGAGGACTACTATTACCAGTCTGCTAGCATGAAAGACCAAGAACACAATTCTATTGTTTTAAACCAGTCCAGTCTCTATGAGAGTGACCAACTGGGTGAAAATTTGGAATTCAGTGATGAATCTGGAAGGTTATATTACTGCAAACACTGTGATTTCAGCAACAAATCTGCTCGAAGTGTTAGTACTCATTATCAACGCATGCATCCCTACATAAAGTTCAGTTTTAGGTATATCTTGGATCCTAATGATCACAGTGCTGTATACAGATGTCTTGAATGCTATATTGACTATAACAATTTTGAGGACTTGCAACAGCACTATACAGAGCACCATCCTGAAGCAATGAATGTTCTCAATTTTGACCAGTCAGATCTGATTTATAAATGCCGGTTTTGTTCATACACAAGCCCTAATGTTCGGAGCTTGATGCCACACTACCAAAGAATGCACCCAACTGTAAAAATCAATAATGCTATGATATTTTCCAGTTATGTTGTTGACCAATCAGAAGACCTTAACTCTGAGTCACAAACGTTAAGAGAAATCTTAAATTCTGCTCCAAAAAACATGTTGACATCCACCCCATCAAGTCATGGAAATAGCTCTACAACATCCTTTGCTAAAAATACCACAAAGTCATTTGCTACAGAAAATGACAGCCAGAAGAGTTCTTCTGTTAACAATGTTGTAGTTTATGACTGTGACATTTGTGGATTTGCAAGTCCAAACATGCATTCTGTTTTAGTTCACTGCCAGAAGAAGCATCCTGATGAGAAGGCATCTTACTTCAGGATTCAAAAAACAATGCGGGTCGTTCCTGTGGATAGTGGAACAGCCATTTCTCAGTTGGCATTCGATGGAGGTGCTTCTGTTACTCCTAGTATTACCAATGTGGCTTCCCCCCCAGAAGTAAATGTTGAGCTATATTATTGCAAGCATTGTTCATATAGCAACCGCTCTGTTGTTGGAGTATTGGTACATTATCAAAAGAGGCATCCTGAAATTAAAGTAACTGCTAAGTATATTAGACAGGCACCACCAACGTCTGAGTCACTGAGAAATGTAGATGGCCAAACAAAACACACCAGGAAAGCTGCCACCTGTTCCACCTCATACCACAAAAAAAAGGAGCCAGCCGAAAGATAATGAGATGTTTTTCTGTCAGCATTGTGACTATGGAAATCAAACAGTCAAAGGAGTTCTTATACATTATCAAAAGAAGCACAAAGACTACAAGGTAAATGCAGATACTGTTAGGCAGCATACAGCTGCAATAAGGAGTCTTTGTGAACAAGGCCAAAAGAAAGCTACTAGTACACATAATTTACCTTCCGTTACAGAGTCTGAAAAGACAAAACTTAGAAGTCTCAAATGTAGGCAGTGTTCATTTTCAACACCATATGTTTATGCCCTGAGAAAACATATGAAAAAAGATCATCCTCATCTCAAGGCTACTGTGACTTCAATTTTGAAGTGGGCTTTCTTAGATGGATTTATTGAAGCAGGTTATCACTGTGAATGGTGCATTTATTCTCATCCAGAGCCAAGCGGTCTTCTTGAACATTACCAAAGGAGGCATCCCGAGCACTATGTGGATTATACTTATATGGCAACAAAGTTGTGTGCAGGACCTGATTCTGCACATGCACAAGTAACACCTGAAACCAAGTCGTACAATTGCAGAGACTGTAACTTTGAAGCTCCTTCTATATGGGATATCACTAATCATTATCAATCTTTCCATCCATGGGCACTGAAAGGAGATGAATCTGTACTTCTTGACATCATAAAGGAGAAAGGAGCTGTACAAAGGTCACATTTAGAAGAAATTTCATTGCAGACTGAGTTTATCCATAAAGATTCCATAAACTTAGAGCCATTTTTTGAGAGTGCAGATGACTCCAGTATATTGCAAGAAAAATCTGCACAGCTGTCCTCTTCTCAGTCTTCTTCACCATATCAGTGCACAGTCTGCCAATCTGAATACAACAATTTACATGGCCTTCTAACACACTATGGTAAGAAGCATCCTGGCATGAAGGTTAAAGCTGCTGATTTTGCACAGGATGTAGACATAAACCCAGGAGCAGTGTATAAATGTAGACATTGCCCATACATTAACACACGTATTCATGGTGTTCTTACCCACTACCAAAAACGTCATCCTTTGATAAAGGTCACAGCTGAAGATTTTGTGCATGATGTAGAACCACCTAATGAATCAACTCAAAATGAAAGTGAAGAAAATAATAAAATATTTAAACAAGGATATGGTGCCTACAGATGTAAATTATGCCCCTACACCCATGGTACACTAGAAAAACTGAAAATTCATTATGAAAAATATCATCATCAAGCAGAACCTAACATGCTCTCTAAAACATCAGAGACAGAAGCTTCTATTGCCTACACAGATATTCAGTCTGATCACATACCTCCTCATACAGTAGTTACTCTGGAACCAGGGGAAGTTACTGGACTTGCAGGCTTCAGACCACGCAAGAACATTAACCCACACACTGTCTTCAGATGTCAGCTGTGCAAATATTTCTGCTCTACCAGAAAAGGGATCGCAAGGCACTATCGTATCAAACATAATAATGTACGAGCTCAACCAGAAGGCAAAAATAATCTGTTCAACTGTGCACTTTGTTCCTATACTAATCCAATTCGAAAAGGGCTTGCTGCACATTACCAGAAACGACATGACATAGATGCATACTATACACATTGTCTAGCAGCATCTAGAACTGTAAATGATAAACAAAACAAAGTTGTCATTTCTACTCCTCATAATGAAGATTCTTCTGAAATGAATGATGATTTGAAAAAGGCCATTGAGAGGAAAAAATGTTCTCTTTGTGCATTTCAGTCTTATAGCAAAAAAGGGATTGTATCACATTATATAAAAAGGCATCCTGGGGTTTTTCCTAAAAAACAGCATGCTAGTAAGCTTGGTAGTTTTTTTACACTTGTGTATGGTGAAGAAAATGAGAGCCAAATCTGTTTGGAAGAAAAACCTGAAATGGATGCACCATCGGAGGACTCAGAACCCCAAGAACCAGAATTACTTCCATTTAGATGTATCAAATGCTTTAAGTTGTCATTTAGTACAGCTGATCTTCTCTGCATGCACTACACAGACCATCACAGCAAAGACATAAAGAGGGACTTCTCCATCTTGGGTACCACAGGTACCCGTTCTTATACAACCATGTATCAGTGCAAACACTGCAATGTCAAATTAAGCAGCGTCGCTGAGCTAACCTTCCATCTAAACATACACATTGAAGACTTCCAAAAACGTGCCAAACGGCAAGAGAGGAGGAAGCAGCTGTTACAAAAGCAAAAAACTGCTGAAAGTTCAGTTCCAGATGGCAAGCAAGAAAAGGTAAGATACTGCTTAATTTTAATGCTATTTAAATATATTGTCGTCTTATATATTGTAAGTATTCTATTCTGAGCCTTTCACAGAATAAAATACCAACATCTGTACTTCCAGATTGCTAAAAAACATAATTGAATACTCTTACTGTATATTTAATGTTAGTACATGTATTAGCCTTACCCCCAGCCTCATACTGCAGGTGAGGATGTCACTATCTTTCTAGTGAGATGCAGAAGAATGCTGAGCTCTTGTATCTGAAATCTTGTAATAAGATGCTCCAGCACAGCGCAGGAGCGTTTTCTTGGCATTCCTGGGCATTATGCTAGGAAGATGGTATCACCCTGATATGGGTGCTGCGAACAAAAACTGAAAGTTGGGCATGTACATCTAATAACTAACATTTTCCTTACAGTTTTTTTTGTTTACTTTAATGCTGGTTGCTATTTATGATGAGGGAGGTGGCTCTGATACATGAAAGGCACCTTGCAGTTTTTATAGCAAGGTCCAGTTTAAAATACAGTCTTGACAATATTACAAACCCAGTTAACACAGTGGAACCTCATTTATCAGTTTCTGAATTGGGAAAAACATTTTAATTTTCTAACCAGAATTGAATTAACCACTTCCCGACCGGGTGTTGTATATAAACGGCCGGACTGTGGCACTGCAGGGTCGGGTGGCCATTTATAAACGGCCTCCCCTCACCCTGCTTGTGCACGCTCCCCTCAGGACACAGTGAAACACCGATCGTCGGACGGGACCTCTGTACGAGGTCCCGATCATGTGATCACTGATTGGCCAATCAGTGATCACATGCAAAGTAGTAAGCAAGATGTCACTTCTGACATCATTGCTTAGTACATGTGAAATTTGTGAATGATCACAGAGGTCACATGGTACAAGGCTATTCACAACAGCCTTGTACCATGTGACAAGCTGTGACCAATCACAGCTCACTCAGTATGGCAAGAATGCAGACAGAGAGAAAGAGAAATTATTGCTTTTACATCCTATATGGGTGTAAAAGCAATCGGTGTAAAAAAAAAAAAAAAAATCTTCATCACCCCCCAAAAGTAGTACAGTGTCACCACTGTACTGCTAGGGTGACAGTATGTAAGAAAAAAATGTTTAAAAATTATAATTTTTGGTTATAAACTAATTTGGCTTATTGTTTTTTTACTTAAAAGATAACAGAATACGTTTTGGCCAAGATTTATGATGGAATATTATTTATTTGCAAAATTTTATAAGAAAAACACTTTTTTCAAAATTTTTGGACAGTTTAATTGCCCTGGTCGGGAAGGGGGTAAAAGTCTCCAGACTGGAAGTGGTTAATGAAAAGGAGTATCTGATCAGTTGTTATGGAAAATACAGTATGTTCTTTCAGATAAATGCCGACTCATATTTGTTACACTTGCTAAGTTATATTAAGCCTGATTGAAGCTTATTGAGATTGCACTGCACTTGTGCAGCATATGTGGTTAAGGTACACCATGCTGCAAGTATTTGGGTATTTTAGCGGCTTTAAATATGACATCGATAACAATGTTTCCTGGAAAGAAGAAACATATGCTTACCTCTCCCACTGGAAACATCATTGAATGTTTCTTTAGTCCAGTGAAGTATCTGCCGAAATCTATACTTCTGTGGGTGGTGATTTTCTGTGTTCACTGCTGTACTCAGTAGTGCTGCACCAAAATGAAAATTGTGGTGCCGAAAACAAAAATTCAAAATGCACTTGGACGAAAACCTAAATGCACAGTTTTTAAAAATGAATATATATTTTTTGGAAAAAAAATACACTTTGATTAAAAAAAACAATATATACCCCAATTTTTTTTGTAAAATATGAAAGAGGATGTTACGGCAAGCAAATAGATACCAAACATGTCACGCTTTAAAATTGTGCACGCCCGTGGAATGGCGTGAAACTGCGGCACTTAAAAATCTTCATGGGTGATGTTTTAAAAATTTCTACAGGTTAGCAGTGTAAAGTTACAGAGGAGGTCTAATGTGAGAATTATTGCTCTTGCTCTGACGTTTGTGGTGATACTTCATGTGTGGTTTGAACACCATTTTATATATGTGGGTATGGCCTATGTATGCGTTCACCACTATGTGCGAGGACAGGGGCACTTTAAACTTTTTTTTTTGTATTATTTATTTTTTTTTTTTTTTTGCACTGTTCCTTTTAAAAAAAAATTAATCACTTTTATTCTTATCACAAGAATTGCATGCATCCCTTGTGATAGCAATAATTAGCGACAGGGCCTCTTTATGGAGAGATGTAGGGTCAATAAGACCCCATTTCTCTCCTCTGCAATGTAAAGTATTGGATCAAAAAAAAGCATCGATCTAGTGTTTTAAAAAAAAAAATGGCTGGAATGGGAAGTGACATCACTTAGTCCTCCAAGGGCATACAGATGTGTGGCGGCCATCTTTCCTTCACTCATCTCTATGCCCAGCGGCGGGATCGACTGTTTCTCAGGTAAGGCTTAACTACCGAGTGGCGGCTGGTGGCGACAGCGGCCGGCGGGTTGGCGGCAGCAACAGCGGGCAGTGGTGAAGGGCGGGCTTTTTTCGCCACCTGTATCTGTGCTTTTTTTAATTTCGTCCGACGGCCAAAAGGGATGATTTCGGCCGAAAAGTTTCGGCCACTGAAATTTCGGTGCATCCCTAGTACTCAGTAGTTTCTCTGCCAATCTTCATATCATTACAAGGCACAGTAGCCTTGTAGGTGTCAGCAAGAGAGACCACTGAGCTCAGCAATGGTGTCAATTTCTACAAATACTTAGGCAGACAATTTAGAGGTTAGCAAGGTGGACATTGGCAGAGGTAGGTATTTACTTCTTAGCAGGGATCTGTTATTGGAATTAATTATTACAATTGTTATATTAACCGCTTAACAACCACCCTATAGCAGATATACTGCTACAGGGCGGAACGTGTGCGCAAAATCACGTGTATATATACATGATTTTGCATTTCCAGGTGGAGGGGGGTGCGCGAGCCCTACCCGTGCCACAGATATCAATCACTGGGTCCCAGACGGTGATTACCGAGCATCTCCGATTGGGAGGAAGATTGTTTTGTTTACAAACAATCTTCCTTCCTGTCAGCTCAAGCACACTGCTCGGGATAACTGTGCACAGTACAGTCATCCCGATCAGTGTGCTTACAGTGAAGAACACACCCCTCACCCCCTAGTAAAAAACACACAGCACACAGTTAACCTTTTGATCGCCCCTCAGATTAACCCCTTCCTGCCCAGTGCCATTAGTACAGTGTCAGTGCTTTTTTTTTTTTTTTTTCTTTTCAGCACTGATCACTGTACTGGTTTCACTGGAGAGGTCAGTGACACCAAGTTAGTTCCTCCCCAATTTCAGAATGTCCGCCGCAGTCCCACTAAGTCACTGATCGCTACCATTACTAGTAGAAAAAAAAAATCCCATTATATATACCGCCATTTGTAAACGCTATAACGTTCACATAAACCAATTAATTTACATGTATTGGGATTTTTTTTTTTAGCAAAGACATGTCGCAGAATACATTTTGGCCAAATTTATGATGAAATTTGATTTTTTTCAATTTTTTCCTGGACATGTTTAATAGCAAAAAGTACAAAATATTGTGTTTTTGTTCTCAAAATTGTCAGTCTTTTTGCTTATAGCGCAAAAAATAAAAACTGCCCAGGCGATCAAATATCACCAAATGAAAGCTCAATTCGTGGGGAAAAAAAAAGGATGTAAATTTCATTTGAGTGCAGGGTTGCATGAGCGCGCAATTGTCAGTTAAAGTAACACAGTGCCATAACGCAGAAAAATGGCCTGGTCACGAAGAGGGTAAATCCTCAGGAGAGCAAGTGGTTAAAGTGACATTCCAGGCTCCACCTATCTAATGTTAAAAATGCCCACTCCTCCCTCCTTACACCTATTCTGACTAACCTGCATAAGAAAGATCTGCATATGTAACGCGTTTCAAGCTGTTGTGGTCCATTTACATGATCTCCCCCGCGTTAGCCAGCTTTGCTGCAGAGGGAAGTTGAGAGTGCTCCAACAATGTTTAGTAAAGCCTAGAGAGGTGACATCACTCATGGGTTTACTATGGCCCATCCATTGTTGGCGCTCCCTCCTCTCCCCTGAAGCCACGCTGGCAGACACACGGGAGTGAGATCACGTGACTGGACTGGGGAGAGGTAAAAATAGGTAAGTATACAGAACTTTCTTACATAAGTTAGTCAGAATAGGTGTTAGGAGGGGGGGGGGAGAGTGCATTTTTACGATTAGATAGGTGGAGCCTGGAGTTCAACTTTAATGATAGTTGCTTTTACTGCACGTTTATGGGTAAGTTGCAATAAGTAGACGTGGTGTACTAGCACTGATTGCATCGATTGATCACACATCAGAGAGTACCAGTGTACATTTATAATGCCTGTTGAAGTGTGTTTTTATTTGCAGGTATTTTTTTTTCCTTTCCATAGTTCATGGATAAGCAAATAAATACCTTATTATTATGTAAAAAAAAAAAAAATCTGTGAATACATGATTCGTACCCTTTTATTAAATTAACTGTTGTGCCTTTAGACTGCAACATGTACAGTTTTTTGCAATATGCACAGTGCTGTGAACTGACTATGATAGGTACCAACCGTCTGAATGGGCCCTACATTTTCTAACGTACAGGTGAAGCTCGAAAAATTAGAATATCGTGCAAAAGTTAATTCATTTCAGTAATGCAACTTAAAAGGTGAAACTAATATATGAGATTCATTACATGCAAAGCAAGATAGTTCAAGCCGTGATTTGTCATAATTGTGATGAGTATGGCTTACAGCTCATGAAAACCCCAAATCCACAATCTCAGAAAATTAGAATATTACATGCAATCAATAAAACAAGAATTGTACATAGAACAATATCGGACTTCTGAAAAGTATAAGCATGCATATGTACTCAGTACTTGGTTTGGGCCCCTTTTGCAGCAATTACTGCCTCAATGCGGCATGGCATGGAAGCTATCAGCCTGTGGCACTGCTGAGGTGTTATAGAAGACCAGGATCTTCCATAACACCTTCAACTCTTCTGCATTGTTCGGTCTCATGTCTCTCATTTTTCTCTTGGCAATGCCCCATAGATTCTCTATGGGATTCAGGTCAGGCGAGTTTGCTGGCCAGTCAAGCACAGTAATCCCACGGTCATTGAACCAGGTTTTGGTGCTTTTGGCAGTGTGGGCAGATGCCAAGTCCTGCTGGAAAATGAAGTCAGCATCCCCATAAAGCTCGTCTGCAGAAGGAAGCATGAAGTGTTCCAAAATCTCCTGGTAGACGGCTGCGTTGACCCTGGACTTAATGAAGCACAGTGGATTAACACCAGCAGATGACTTGGCTCCCCAAATCAATACAGACTGTGGAAACTTCACACTGGACTTCAAGCATCTTGCAGTGTGTGCCTCTCCATTCTTCCTCCATACTCTGGGTCCTTGGTTTCCAAATACAAAAAGATGCAAAAGTTGCTCTCATCAGAAAAGAGGACTTTGGACCACTGAGCAACAGACCAGGTCTGTTTTTCTTTAGCCCAGGTAAGACACTTCTGACGTTGTTTGTTGTTCAGGAGCGGCTTGACAAGAGGAATACGACATTTGAAGCCTATGTCCAGGATCCGTCTGTGTGTGGTGACTCTTGATGCACTGACTCCAGCCTCAGTCCACTCTTTGTGAAAGTCCCCAACACTTTTGAATGTCCTTTTCCTGACAATCCTCTCCAGGCTGCGGTTATCCCTGCTGCTTGTGCACCTTTTTCTTCCACACTTTTCCCTTCCACATAACTTTCTATTAATGTGCTTTGATACAGCACTTTGGGAACATCCAACTTCTTTTGCAATTACCTTTTGAGGCTTTCCCTCCTTATGGAGGGTGTCAATGATGGTTTTCTGCACAACTGTCAGGGTAGCAGTCTTTCCCATGATTGTGATTCCTACTGAACCAGACTGAGAGACCTTTTAAGGGCTCAGGAACCCTTTGCAGGTGTTATGGCTTAATTAGCTGATTAAAGTGGGACACTTTGAGACGAGAATATTGCACCTTTTCACAATATTCTAATTTTCTGAGATTGTGGATTTGGGGTTTTCATGAGCTGTAAGCCATAATCATCACAATTATGACAAATCCCGGCTTGAACTATCTTGCTTTGCATGTAATGAGTCTATCTCATATATTAGTTTCATTTTTTAAGTTGCATTACTGAAATAAATGAACTTTTGCACGATATTCTAATTTTTCGAGTTTCACCTGTATGTCTAATTGGGTATAGTTAGAAAAAAAACTTGTGTGCACACAGCATTCCAAAGTAACAATATGTAAAAGTTGTTTTGTTAATTAGAATGGTCCTCATTAGTTTAATACTTATGAACACTATTTTTTTTGGCGTACATATTTATAAATGTCCCTCACAGAGTTTCCAGTTGTTAAATAGCATTACATATCATTGATTATTTTGGTGTGATAACATGACACTACACTGTTCACTTTCTATTGAAATTATATTTAAATTAGAAGTATCCAATTTCTCATCCTATACGGGAAGATAAGTTACAAATAGCCTTTCCATCCAACATTTTTTCACATACCTCTTCATATCAAAACAAAATGATATAGTATCTAGATTTTATGACCTACATCCCCGTGGTTCTTCATACAGATTGATACATCCCATTGTGTGACTGAGTCATTGTGCTGCCTTGTTTGTAGCCCTTTTAATAATATCTTTCTTTTGATAGAGAATGTATAGCAGACAAGTGTGAGAGGTTTGATTAACCTTAATCTATCATCCATACTTTAAGCATTAACTTTGGAAAAGTTTGACTCGGGGATTGCAAGTGCTCATAGTTAACATTTTGTCACTTTGGTAATGGAAATACAGTTTCAGACTAAAATGGTTTTTAAGATGTATTTATGGCAAAAAGAAAGCAGTGTATAAATGGCAGGGTTACCAGTTTGAATAACTGGTCTACAAAATGTCTGGTTGTTATCCAGTGAACCTGAAGAACAGAGCCCTCCACTATGATTTTCCTTTCTGTTTCTATTAACACCTCCTTAAAGTATAACTAAAGGCAAAACTTTTTTTTTTTTTGTAGTTTTTTTTGTAGTTTTAGACATAGTGGAGATGGATTAGAGCACCTATTTGGTTGATATTGTGGTCTGTGCCCCTCAGATTCCACCCTCTCTATGTGTCCTGTTTACCATTATTGAAAGTAGAAGTAAAGAAAAACCCATGTTTTGGGTAAGCTCCAGAAAAGTAATGGGAAATTTTCCAATGGGGACACTAGTTCTGGTGAGCTGGGGGTCCCCAAGGAATTCCCTTAATTTGTGAGGATTTTCTCGCACTTTCTGTTTTGGCTATGGGACAGAAAGCGAAGGTAAATCTTGCCAAGGGAGCACAGACAGAAAAAAAAATAAACTGACGGGGGTTATAACCCTTCCTTACTCTATCCCAGTGGTGGGCAACCTTTTTTTTCAACTGAGCCAAATCTCGCCAAAACCACGATTGAAATTTATTTTGAGAGCCACATTTTTAAAACTGAAAATACATAGGATGGTACACTGTTTTTAGTTTCAATAAGTTTTTATAGTAATTCATCCCCCATAGTAATTCATCCCCCATATAGTAATTCATCCCCCATATAGTAATTCATCCCCCCATATAGTAATTCATCCCCCCATATAGTAATTCATCCCCCATATAGTAATTCATCCCCCCTATAGTAATTCATCCCCCCTATAGTAATTCATCCCCCATAGTAATTCATCCCCCATATTAATTCATCCCTCATATAGTAGTAGTAAGTAAGTAGCAAGTAGTAAGCCAAGTCCCCCCTGTGTCAATTCACTTACCTTTGCTCCGCGCGTTCCTCTCGCCGTGTTCCCGCGCCGTTCCGGTCTTCAGGGCGGACTGTGAGAGGAGCCTAGCTCCTCTCACGTTCGTCACGCTGCCCCGCCTACACACATCCTGACAGCCAATCACTGGCTATCAGGATGTGAGTGGCAGCGAAACTGGCCAATCATTGCATTTGAGCACGCTGCCCTGGCTGTTTTTTTTTTTTTTTGGATCACGCTGCAGAGTCCCTGCCGCCCGAGAGGAGGGAGGGGAGCGGGCGCCCCGCACACAAGAGCCGCATTAAAGCGTGTAAAGAGCCGCATGTGGCTCGCGAGCCACGGCTTGCCGACCACTGCTCTATCCAAACTTAAAAAAAAAAAAAGGTTGCCTGTAGTTCTACTTTAAGCATAAAAAATCTAGTTCATAAGTATTTTTTTTTAAGTACTGATTGTTAACTGGTAGTGCTAGGTTAAAATTAGTCCTCAAGATAGAATTTTAGGAAATAATTATAAATTGCTAAATAATGGTTATTTAAAAGGGCCAGCATTATGCATTCTTACTATCACAGTGTTATGTAATTTTCTGGCATATTATATTCATAATTTGATAATTTGAGCTCTGTAAGAAATACTGAAACAGCTTAATTGTACATTTTAAAATATTACATTTGTATTTGACCAATTTAAAAGAGAACTTGAAGATGCTTTTTGTTTGTTTAATTATTTTATAAAATGCATTCCTTTCTTGCAATACATTGTAATTTTTTAGAGTAATATTATGTCTGTAAATGATAGTCTAGTCTAAAGTGCCCATTTCTCTAGATGATCTATTGAGTAGACCTGAGTCACCTGTTACTACTTGTGAACAATGTTCCCTTTTATTTGGCTGTGATAATTGTGCATTTTTCTGGCTATAGTTACAGACAGGAAGTGGTCAAGAGACAGTGAAAAAGAGATTAAAGGAAAAGGTAGTTGTGGGCTACAAATGTAAATTCTGCGTGGAAGTCCATCCCACTCTTCGAGCCATCTGTAATCATCTCCGCAAACATATCCAGTATGGAAATGCTCCCTCACTTCCACCCGAATTAAAGGTACAAACTGTGGCTCCTGGCAACAACATGCTGGAGCATTTTTTTTTTTTTTTTATAGCTTAGACATTTTTGGAAACCACATACTGCTATGACATCCTACAATGCCAGCATCTGTGCAGTTGAATACCTATCAGTAAGTTGACTATAGTTTATATGGAGCTTCTAAAACTGGTCCTCAGACCACCCGGCAGTACGAATATTGCAGATACTGAATAGGAATGCTGGTGCATTTACCTAGTCAACTACTCTGTCATTTCTACCATTCCGTTATTAATAGAGATATGCAATACATGCACTGGTGGTGGTTTGTTTATTAAACTGCAGTAAGTCGTAAATATAAAGATATGAAAGGTAAAGTTCATTCTGTGGTTCTTACGGCTGTTGAAGGAAGCCTGACTTGGTAATATCACTTATTTGAACATTCCTGGTCCTTCTAGTCTATGTATTTTGCAATTGCAGTTCAGTTATCTGTCCTTCTTCAGCTCCAGCTGCCTGTAAATAAAGGTGGATCAGTGGAAGGTAATTTGTATGCTGTGCTTTGATGTGTCAAATATATTTCTTTAAGAGAACTATGATTATTTTTGCGGCAATTGCTAATAGCGATTGTATTTTCCGCTTAAACCAAAATATGTTCCTCTGATAATGACAAAGCAACAATACATCTAATAAATAAGCTTTCACTGTGATGAGGATTTTGACAAAAAGATTTCAGAAATCTAGAGTGTCCCACTAACTTGTGCATTCCTTTGGGTGCCCATACAGTGCATCCAGAAAGCATTCACAGTGCTTAACGTTTGCCATATTTTATGTTACAGCCTTATTCCAAAATGAATTAAATTCATTTTTTTTTCCTCAACATTCTACAAACAATACCCCATAATGACAACGTGAAAGAAGTTTGTTTTGAAATCTTTGCAATTTATTAAAAATAAAAAATGAGAAAAACACGTACATAAGTATTCACAGCCTTTGCCATGACACTCAAAATTGAGCTCTGTTGCATCCTGTTCCCAGTGATCATCCTTGAGATGTTTCCATAGCTTGATTGGAGCCCACCTGTGGGAAATTCAGTTGATTGGACATGATTAGGAAAGGCATAAACCTGTCTATATAAGGTCCCACAGTTAACAATGCATGTCAGAGCACAAACCAAGCCATGAAGTCCAAGGAATTGTCCCTAGACCTCTGTGACAAGATTGTATCAAGGCACAGATCTGGGGAAGGATACAGAAATATTTCTGTAGCATTGAAGGTCCCAATGAGCACAGTGGCCTCCATCATCCATAAATAGAAGAAGTTTGGAACCACCTGGAATCTTCCTGGTCAAAATGAGCAATCGAGGGAGAAGGGCCTTAGCCAGGGAGGTAACCAAGTATCCGATTGTCACTCCGTAAGAGATCCAGCGTTTCGCTGTGGAGAGAGGAGAACCTTCCAGAAGAACAACCATCTCTGCAGCACTCCACCAATCAGGCCTGTATGATAGAGTGGCCAGATGGAAGCCACTCCTCAGTAAAAGGCAAATGGCAGCCTGCCTGGAGCTTTCTAAAAGTCACATGAGGGACTCTCAGACCATGAGAAACACCCTCTGATCTGATGAAATAAAGATTTGAACACTGTGACCTGAATGCCAAGCATCGTGTCTGCTGAAAACCAGGCACCGCTCACCATCTGGCCAATACCATCCCTAAAGTGAAGCATGCTGGTGGCAGCATCATCCTGTGGTAATGTTTTTCAGCGGCAGGAACTGGGAGACTAGTCAGGATCAAAGGAAAGATGAATGCAGCAATGTACAGAGACATCCTTGATGAAAACCTGTTCCAGAGCGCTGTGGACCTTAGACTGGGGCGATGGTTCATCTTTCAACAGGACAACGACCCTAAGCACTCAGCTCACATAACAAAGGAGTGGCTACGGCCCAACTCTGTGAATGTCCTGGAGTGGCCAAGCCAGAGCCCAGACTTGAACCCGATTGAACATCTCTGGAGAGAACTGAAAATAGGATGTGCACCGACGCTCCCCATCCAACCTGATGGAGCTTGAGAAGTACTGCAAAGAAAAATGGGAGAAATTGTCCAAAAATAGGTGTGCCAAGCTTGTAGCATCATACTCAAAATTACTTGAGGCTGTTATTGGTGCTAAATGTGCTTCAACAAAGTATTGAGCAAAGGCTGTGAATACTTATGTACATCTGTTTTTATTTTTTTTTTTTTTTTTTTTTTTTTTTTTTTAATAAATTGCAAAGATTTCAAAACTAACTTCTTTTACATTGTCATTATGGTGTATTGTTTGTAGAATGTTGAGGAAAAAAATGAATCCAATCCATTTTGGAATAAGACTGTAACATAACAAAATGTGCCAAAAGTTAAGCGCTGTGAATACTTTCTGTATGCACTGTATAGTAGCATGGATGGACTACAATCAACCAGCCTGTTTAAAGGTGTTGGACTAGTACTTCATTTTTTTACTTTAAGTGAAAAATACTAAAAGGTAATTTTATTCCATTTTATGCCTCAGGTGACCTTAGTTTTAAAGGACTTTCCATATCCATTTTCAAAATGAAGTCCATGGAATAATTAAAGCACTTAGAGCAACTTGGAGATTGTAATGCTTTACCTTTCAGACTAAACTATTTTGGAACCATCCAACATGTACAGTTTTCAGTCCTCTGTTTATATGTTCAGGCTATGCAGCTTGTGATTCATGCAACTCCTGTCTGCAGCTAAATTCAGGTAGAATCTGTTGTCGTGGACATAGAGCCTGCCTCCCTGCATCCAAACTGGCAACTAGGGGTCAGTGCAGGTGACAAGATAGGGAGTCTTTGCATGTAAGCAAAGGACCTGTGCAGGCCATCCAGTTTAGAAACAGCTGTTCCTTAGCCTTTAATTGTCACAAAATAGCAGTTGTTATTATTTTTAGCAGTTCCTAAGTTATTTTATTGCATGTGTTTAAGTAAATAGGTTCATCTTCAAATGATATCTAAATTTGCATGGCATAACAAAACAGGCTTTCTAGGTTTAATTAAATGTATAAACTTATCAATTGAGGCAGGCTTGTATCCATAGGTGTATACTTAAAAATTCTGCTACAGCTAATGTTCCTTTTAATTTAAATATTTGTAAATATAGTGTCCAGCTTATCATTTTAGAAGATAAGTGCACCTTTAGAACTAACATAAAAGATAACTAAGGTTAAAGCGGTACTGAACCTAAACCTAAAAGCAAAAAGTAAATATATTGCAACTTACCAACTCTTAGATGTGCCAGCTGCATTCGTTTTCCTTTTTTAGGCTTTTTTTTTTTCTTTCATTTTCACCTGATGATCCAGTTAGTAAGTGTTATTTTTTTCAAATTCCTTTATTAGGCCAACCTGTTCAGCAAAATTGTCAGCTAGAGGGTTTGAACAAACCATTTAACACTGACAGGGGTGCTTACAGTGGTCAGCTTTTATTTCTGTAAAACCTTTATCCGAAAAAGGAATAAAACTGTTGCTGTAATAGCTTACGAAGTGTTAGCTGGAGCTTTAATTTGTTAACTCCAGCTAAATTTTCTGGAGCATCCAACACTCTGTTGTTTCTCCACAGATTGGAGCCACCCTAAGTCAGGAAGTGTGTTACTGGCCGGAACACTAGGGGAAAATAAAGAACAAAAACGAATGCAGCCACCCAATTTAAGGATTAGTATGCTGCAATATATGATTTTTTTGTTTAGTTTAGTTTTGTTTTGGGGCACTGCTTTAAAAAATAAAAAGGTAAAATAGTGAGCTGAAATGCTTCCAAACTATAGTATACATGTGTACCTGTATAATATAGAAAGCCTACTCCCAATGCAGTATTTACATCCTTTTCCATTTTTAGCTTGTTATTTAAGGTCTGTGCATACACCTAAGAGAGAAAAAAAAAGTAAGGCCTGTGCTCCTCTTGTCTATTGTTAACTATGAGCAAGCAGAGAGACAACACTATCCTTCTTGAATCTGTGTATTTAAACCTAGAAACAAAAATATAACATATTACAGCTTGCCTTTAAATGAAGTGGCTGCATTTGTTTTTCTTTTTAAGCATTTTCCTCTTAATTTTCACCTGGTAACACTGCATAAGACACTTGCTGCTCTAGCGTGACTACGCTTACTCTTTCTGAGTGTCACCCAGGCTGGACTTCAAACATATCTTCCTCTTTTCATCTTCATTTCATAGGAGTTGGGAGATTTAGTAGTTTACAGAAAAGGGTAACATTGTGCTTTCAGTTCAGCTCCCATGAAGTGATTATGTACTTGCCAAAAAAGTTTCTAGCTTCCTGTGCGCTTAGCTAAAATTTCAAACAATAATATCAGCCTTCCCAGTTCTCTTCTGGGAACTACAGAAAACCTACCCCCCTCTATTATGGAGATGATGAAAGGGGGAAAAGTTGTAGTTTAAGTCACAGGCCTAGACTGACAATGCTGCTCCTCTGTGAATGCAGTGTAGTGATCATTGTCTTCCTCGAAGAGCAAGTGTGTTATTGGCAAGATCAGCAGATGAAAAAAAAAATAAAGGTAAAAAGAAAACTAATGCATCTACCATGTCAGAGGACTGGTAAACTGCAATATATTACATTTTTGTTCTTGGGTTTGGATATCAATTACACCTGTTGGTGTGCCGGATGATATAAATACTGCTTCAGTGCTGTGGTGGCCAAGCAGATGGCTACAAGCATTTTGTTTTTCTTTTACACTTGCCATGTTGACGTTTTGTCAAGAGCCATAAAGCCATGTAGGAAAGTACATGTTTTCAAGAAAACATTTCCCTTATCTGAGTCCATCCCATGTACCATGCACCTGATTTTAGGGAAACATTGGTTCTTAAAATCAGAAGTTCCTTAACTAAACCTTATTTTTTTTGCTTCCTTCTATGTAAGGATGATGTAGAGGTAGAAGTGGAGGTAGAAGTGGAGATGAGTAACACAGAAGTTGAAAAAGTTGAACAAGAACCCGAAGAATCGAAACCAGTGGCAGAAGAAGCTTCCATAGAAGTAAAAAAAGAACCAAAGTTACCAAAGCGATGTAGGGTTGGTGGCTACCCCTGTAAGCAGTGTGACCGTGTTCTAATGTCAATGCAAGGCTTGCGTTCCCATGAGAGAAGTCACTTGGCACTAGCCATGTTTACTCGAGAAGACAAATACAGCTGCCAGTTCTGCTCCTTTGTCTCTGCCTTCAGGCACAAGTAAGCATTCTTAACACAAAAAAAAAAAAAACCTTTTCCATTTGATTTATGGGTGTGTTTTGTTTATTTATGCACATATTAATATGCTCATCTTTGTCATTGTCTTGAGCAAAATGTTTTTAAATCTCAGAAAAAGCAGCCAAAATGGCATGTAAAATATAAGCCAATTTTCTAGGTACATTTTCCTTTCATGTGTGTATTTGTTCTCTATCTACAAATTATTATTATACAGGATTTATATAGCGCCAACAGTTTGCTCAGCGCTTTACAATATAACAAATCACAGTACATCAATGCCTTATTTTTCTAATAGCAAAAGTATTAGTACAGTTCAGTTTGTGTGTTCCAGTATGCGCCCAGTCTGCATATTGCAGTAGACAATCCATGAACAAGTTGTTAACAGTTCTGCAAAGTACCCAGATATAATATAAGCAAGTATTACTAAAAGCAAAACTTTTTTTGTTTTTTAGTTTTGGAGTAAGATGGATTGAAACACCTGTCAGTTTTTATTGCTGTATTTCCCCCTTTTAAGGAGATTCCCTCCCTCTATTTGTCCTGTTTACCATTGTTTTTGAAAGTGAAAGTAAAAAATTCCAAATTTTCGGTTGTCCCTAGAGAAGTAATAGAGGAGAAATCTTCCAATGGGGACACTAGTGAACTGGAAGTCCCCAAGGGAAAACTCTGCAATGGGACACAGATGGTGAAAAAAAACATTTGACAGGGATTATAATTCTCCCTTACTCTATCCAAAATGAAAAAAAAACTTTAAGTGCTACATGTAAAGAAAAACAAAGGTCCACCTTCTGAAAAGCTGTGAATAGAGCTTACCATAGGTCAATAGATCATCCATTTGTAGTTCTCCAGGAAAACATTTTATTTGTTCGGGAATATGTCCAATAACACTTTGTTGAGCATAGAGAAAAAACAAACATGGAGCAACGTGTTCTTAGGTATTTGCATGCCATGGAGTGCATTTAGAAGACCAATTTACATTTGCCATACACCACCAGCCTCCCATAAATTGTAAGTGGAACCAAGTCTTTAAGCGGTTTAACCTAGAAAAGATGGCTTTCCTTGTTGTTTGCCATATTCGACCAGTGCATTGCTTTGGTACTCAGAATTACAGCAGTCAACTAAAAATCATGTATTTAAAGTGTTACTAAACCCATGACCCTGCATTCACTATATCTGGTCTCCCACAGTACACAGAACATGAAAATGCAATTATTTTAGTAAATATAAACTGATAAATCAGCAGCATATAGCAGTCTTGTGACTTCTATCAGTGTCCAGCTGGGCACAGGTTAAAGCTTGTAGGAGGAGTTTTCATTCTGCTCTGACTGTCCTATGAGGCTGCCTAACCACTGACCCTCTGTCTGGAAAATGCTGATTGGCCTTGTGCTGATCACATGCACTCTCCAAAAGAAAACAAAAAACCTAACAATACACACCAAACTGAGCATGTGCAGAGTGACTCCTAGAGCTCTGTACTATCAACAGATGAATTGGGGACAGTAGAAGAAGGGGAGGATCAGAGAAGACAGGATCAAACAACCTTTTTATACAATGTGGAGGATTAACCTCTTAGGTTCTACAGTGAGTATAACAAGCATGCTTTACTACATATACAGACTGATTTTATTGCTGTGGGTTTATTAACACTTTAAGTGCTTACAGTATGTCTCATTCAGTCTTGTGTGATGTTCACATCTTTAGTTACAGCTATTTAGTATATGACCATAAATGCTAGAATTAGGGGCATATTTGGTTTAAAACAATCTTATTTACCAGTTGAACAGGAAATGTGTGGAGACCTTAACTATGAAATCACATGCTGACTTAATTAAAAGATGAAAATGAGCAATGCACAAAGGACCAATGCATCATGAAATACCAACCAATGAGGTATATTGATATTGTTTGGAGGACATTTAAACCGGGCACCTCTGCAATGAGTTCACTTATTTAAATGCATAAGTATGTCTCTGAATAATCTTTGGTTGTCCTCTCCTTGACCCTTGAAGAAATGTTCAGGAACATATGCAGATAGCAGGGATCTTTCTGGAGGCAATCATGTATTTCTCTTAGAGACATGACAACATGAATTAGACCAAATGGATCTGAATTGTTCTTGTGAAAAATGTAATTACTCAAAGCAGTTATTTTGAACAGTTTTAATGTGTGAGGTGATCCTAATAACTAGATGCCTTTTGCTACAATGCAAATTGCTATTTAAATATTTGTCCAAACCAATGTACCAACCATTCAGGAAAACAAACTAAAATATGTCTGATTTTACAGAAAAGAAACAGAACCTAAAGAAACCTATGTCAGAACATGATGATATGTTGTACATTTTATTAAACTCCCCTTATAGGAAAATTGACAATTCTGATCATTTGTAGATTTAAACATAATCATGACTTTATTCAAAGATTCATACTATACAATATATTATATGAATATATATATCATTCTAAAAATTTGGCTAGTAACACACCCCTCAAAATGTATGAAGGCCCCGGAAATAAGGAGTAAAATTTTTCCCATTTCGGTAAATTATTGGATTGTACTGAAAAAAGATTATCAAATGCCCAGTGCATGAATTAACAAATTCCTTGCATACATAGATACATCTTATTCAATCAAATAAATATGAGCAAATCTGTTATTTATCTAACTGTAGAGCTTATAAAGTAGTGCATGTAAATGTAAACCGTGCTAATCCGCAAAAAAAAAAATCAAAATTCTGTCTTTCTGTCTATCTGTATTAGTAAGAAAAAATGAATTATTAAATGCATTGCTTAGGTTGGACCTGCTTTGTCAGAAGCAAGAAGTGAAGTGCTTCCGAAATTCATACATATAATCAGTGATAGATAAAAAATGCATTTATTTTAAAATGTCCCTTTTATTCCCCCAGTTTGGATCGGCACCTCCAAGAACACCATGGACATTACAAGCCATTTAGATGTAAACACTGCCCATTCAAATCTTCTTCAAATAGCCGTCTAAAAACACATATTGCAAAAGCACACGGAGGTGAGATTTTGGAATGAAGTTGGTGTGGTGTTCAGATAGTTTTGTTATAAACTGATTTACATAAATATTGGCACTTTATTAATTTTCTTGTGTAACATTTTCAGGTGAACATGCCTACAAGTGCTCATTTTGTTCAGTATCAAAAATGACAATCAGTCAGTTGAAAGATCACTGTATAAAGGCCCATGGGAAAACGCTTACACTACCAAAGCTTCGGACTATGGTTCCAAGTAGCCCACGTGCCAAACAAAGTTCACGAATTGGGAAGGAAGGTCCAGAGGGTAAGAAGACACTTCTATAGAATCATTACTATATTTTCTGTTGATACTAAAACATTTTGAAACTTTTTTGCCTTTAATAAATTGCTGAACATCTAGACACCCCACATGTATCAACACATGAAAGCAATTGTTTTCTGTACAATCTATGGAAACCGTCTTTTACCTTTTTTGTTCTACCTCTCCTGCACATACCCCCACTTTTTATATCATCATAGATCAGAGGTCTCCAGACGTTCCAAAGAAAGAGCCAGTTTACTGCCCTTTAGATTTCAGGGGGGCCAGACTCTGCCCAGTGAGAGTAAACAATATCCGATCATTGTTATTAGGGGGGAAATAGTTGGTGTCTGGGAGGAAAGTGCTCCATTTTTGTTGTGAGTGGAAGGAGTTATGCCCTATTGTTGGTGTCAGTGGAAGGAATAGTGCCCCAGTGGTGATGTCAGTGGCAGGAATAATGCCGCAAGGGCCAGATAAAGGCAAGCAGGGCCACAGTTTGGAGACCACTGTTCTAGATGGATAGATAGCCAAGGTAATCTAAAATTAGGTAAATGAAACTGAAATGTTTCTGTTCAACTTCATATTTAAAGTCCTTTGTACCTTGCATGTTGTATCATGAGATACAATTTGTTTTTAGACAATATTTGCTTATCCTGGAGGCAGGGGCGGACTGACCATTTGGGAACTCTGGCACTGCCCGAGGGCCCTGGGGGTCAGTAGGGGGCCCCATGAGAAGCTCCTAGTACCATTCATAGGTTTTTTTGGGTGTGGTTTGAGTGTGTGTGAGGACACGGGCCCCATGATCCCCTATTCCCTGGGGGCCCCAAGAGTTGTCAGTCCGCCCCTGCCTGGAGGTTATCCCTGAGTCCAGCTCTAAATGTATACACACACAGCTACTTGCTTATTACCTTGTTACCTAGTGACAGGTTACATAACTTGAACCTCTTGAGCTAGAGTCTGTCTGACTGGAAGCTCCTTCTTTGTGTTTGTCAGAACCTGAAATTTTGACTACAGCAGATTGGACTGTCTTTCTCTAAATGTAACTGTATTTTTTCTTTTATAGAAGCCATGTATTTTGAACCACCAGATGTCCAGCAGCAGCTCAATCATTATCAGTCAGCTGCTTTAGCCAGAAATAACAGCAATAATAGTCCTGGACCTCTACCTGTGGTTAAAATGGCACTAGAACATAAAGAAGATTTTATCCTCAAGTGTGAATTTTGTGATTTTTCCTCTGGGTACATTCAAAGCATTCGTCGTCACTACAGAGACAAACATGGAGGAAAGAAACTCTTCAAGTGCAAAGACTGCAACTTTTATACATGCTATAAGTAAGAATAACCTACAGTGTTTCACTTAACATTCCATCAGAATTGTGAACATAACTATGGAGAAAGTGTGACTGTGGGAAGAAACCTGGGTGTATGGGGCATGTCTCTTTTGATGCTTTTTACCAAAGATAAGTGGGTTCTGAGAGAAAATGTTATCTTTAGATCAACCAAATCATTAGCTAGATTCTCAATTCCAGCTCAGAGCAATTGAGTTAGAAAAATGAATGGTAAAATTGTGCATCAGAACATTGTTTCTTGCCTTTCTTAAGTACCGTAAACTAATTTCATTAAAAGGCCTTCAAATTTCATCCAGACCCTCTGTTTGAATCCCAGATGTATTAAACTGTTTTTTTGTAGAATATGTACAATTCTTCCCAAATAAAAACCACATTCACAATTAGAAATGTATTCATTTGAGGAAAATGTTTGTATTCTGTTCCTTTTCTCACCACTACTGATTTAATGCCAATAACAATTGGAAGTTCAAAAGAACGATCATTTTCGAATGAATTTCTACTGGAGTAAGACTCTGTAAGATTGCCTAGGTTCAGTTTTATGAATGAATACATATGTGATATGAAATATTATGTGCATGGAGTTTGTAAGTCTTCCTGTGTTTTCATGGGTTTCCTCCTGTATTTTCTTACACAGTCCAAAAACAGATGTAGATTGATCAACTTCCTCTCTTGCATAGGTGTGTGTAAATATCTTTGGCAAGATGTCAGATAATAAGTGTCAGAGTCAGGAACTGTTCTGAATGTTGAAATACTCTTGTGTTTCTAATAGCTACAAAAAGTAACTAATATAGGCTGTTGCCCCTAATTATTTGATTTGCTGTAAAGTGGTATTTTAACTGTGTCTCACTCTCAAAAATGTAAGCCTCCTTCACATTGATGAAAAGGCAAGGACAGTGTCAAGGCTGTGACTGGGCTGACAGGCCGTGGCAAACAGCTGTGGCCACTAAGCCTGTACAAAGCAATGACAGACAGCTGAGAGGAGCCACAGTTGTCTGCCGATCTTCACATGTATTCACACATCAAGCAGTTTCCTTTGGTTTAGACCTGATATCTATCCCTGGACGTGTGTGTACGTATGTCTGTGTGTGCGCGTGCGTACGTCCAGGGATAGAAATCTGTCCCTTACCACAGGTAATCTACAGTCAGGTCCATAAATATTGGGACATGGACACAATTCTAACATTTTTGGCTCTATACACCACCACAATGGATTTGAAATGAAACGAACAAGATGTGCTTTAACTGCAGACTGTCAGCTTTAATTTGAGGGTATTTACATCCAAATCAGGTGAACGGTGTAGGAATTACAACAGTTTGCATATGTGCCTCCCACTTGTTAAGGGACCAAAAGTAATGGGACAATTGGCTTCTCAGCTGTTCCATGGCCAGGTATGTGTTATTCCCTCATTATCCCAATTACAATGAGCAGATAAAAGGTCCAGAGTTCATTTCAAGTGTGCTATTTGCATTTGGAATCTGTTGCTGTCAACTCTCAAGATGAGATCCAAAGAGCTGTCACTATCAGTGAAGCAAGCCATCATTAGGCTAAAAAAACAAAACAAACCCGTTAGTTTCATTTCAAATTCATTGTGGTGGTGTATAGAGCCAAAAATGTTAGAATTGTGTCGATGTCCCAATATTTATGGACCTGACTGTATCTGTGTGAAACTACATGCAAAAGCTATGGAGCCTGTCATTCTCAGATGACAGGCAATCAACAAAAACATTCAGATAATCTTCTTTGTTGTATAACGGACAACAGTAATGAGGGATTATTGGTTACATATCTTAATTTCAGCTTTATTTTTCTTCAACAGATCTGCTTTTACCATGCATGTAGAAGCAGGCCATTCATCTGTTCCCAGGAGGGGCCCAAAGATCTCCGATGTCCTCTCTGCCTGTATCATACCAAATATAAACACAATATGATAGATCATATTGTCCTGCATAGAGGTAAAGGCTTTTTGTTATAGTGTGGTCGCATTTGTTTCATATTGTAAACTGCGTTGGAAAATCTAAAAACCAGGATGCATTCAAACATTCTTTAACAGGTGTCTCCAAACTTTCTAAACAAAGGGACTTCGGACTTTAGGGAGGCCCAGCTGTCATTTGGAGTAAAGAACACATCTTTTGTATTGGGGAGAAGAATAGCGTCCTGTTGTTGGTGTCAGTGGGAGGAATAGTGCCCCATCATTGGTGTCAGTGGGAGGAATAGTGCCCCATCATTGGTGTCAGTGGGAGGAATTATGCTCCATTGTTGCTGTCAGTGGAAGAAATAGTCTCTTGTATCAGTGGGAGGAAAATTGCCCCAAGGGCCGGATAAAGGCAAGCAAAGGCCCATTTAAGCAGGCTGCTTAATTTCCATTTTATTTCAATGACAGGCATAAATCAATGACATGATGAAGTATTTTGTAATTGCATATTCAAGAAGAATTATATTACACAGATAAAAAAGTTACAAAGAAAGTACATATTAACTTGTACTCTGTAATGGTGGCCATACACAGCCTGGTCTTTAAAAGAAATATTTCTGATTCAGTTGTGATGGCTGGTATTTATCCATGTAGAGTTTTTATATAGAAACCAGAGGCTTTCTACCATCAGAAGCAATTTGTCACACACAGAGATGGGTGCTGATTGTTCAACTGTGAATATAGTGCATGCTTTGTGAAAGTTTTATTTTGCTCTTTTTCATAGAAAAGGGAATACGACTTTCACCAGGCATGCACCACATGCACATTTTGACCATGTAAAGACTACAGCAACCCCCAGCAGCACAGATGTGACAGATCTCTCAATGAATGCAATATCACCAGCACACCATGTTCAAAACTGTAAACTGGATTTTCATGTCACCAACAGAAAGCCTTTCTATGGGTGATGAATAATTATCCTGTTTGTGATTTTGGTGTGCTGGTGATGATGCATTCTTTGGACTTCTGCTATGATGGCACCACCCATCTGATCACCATAACAAATCCTTCAGGCCTGGTTCACTCTAGTGCGGGCCGTGCGACAGGCGTTTGCGCGGGGATGGTAGCCCATTCATTTGAATGGGCTGATGTGCTCACGTTTCACGCAAGGAAAAGCTACATACAGTATACCTTTTCAAAAAAACCGCATGGTCTTTTTGACCATACAGTTTCTGTGTGGTTCCTGCACCCATAATTGTGCGGCAGAATGAGATGTGTGGGGTGCCATTCAGAATGAATGGCACCCACCCACATCTCCTAAGAAAAATGCGCTGTGGGTGCGGGAATTGCATCTATACCTGCAACCAACCAGCAGCGTGCAGGCTAGTGTGAAACTAGCCTTATGGTCAGTTGCTGTAAGGAATGCACTATGTACTTTTGGACTAAATATCTCATCACTCATTCTCGGAGAGATATTTACCATCCATTGCCAACCATACATTGTAATTTCTGTTGGTTGGATTAACCCTTTAGTCACCACGGCATCCATTATTTAAAAACACAGTATTAAAAGTAATTGAATCACATTGTTTATTGTAACTGTAGTGTTTGACATTAAAATTGCTTGACTGCATCTTAGTTGACCATCCTTTTGCAAATACCAGTGCTGCTTGGCACTGTTTTCAATTACTACATGTCCCTGTTCTTTACTATCTCAAACTAGATTGGGAATGCTGTTAAAGAAACACTTTTCAGGATTATGCATACACCAAAACATTGCCCTGTTTGTTGTCAGCTGCAGATCTTTGCCAGAATTATGTAAACAGTCCAGGGTGGGGACCAGTTTGCACCTTGCTGGTGGAAACATTTTGGTTATTGAACTAATCCTATTATATTATTATTATATAGTGCCAACGGTTTGCTCAGCGCTTTACATTATAGTGGGAGACAATTACAGATTATATAAATATATTCTCAATAATGGGTATATGGAGAACTACACCCTGTTATTATTATGCAAATTATATTTTCTCATTTACCTAAGTAATTGATGTAAATAACAGTCAGCATAATTCTCATGTTATCAACTATTAAGAGTACAATTCAAATTTTATTGAACAAACCTCCTAATGATAACAGTATTTTTTTAAACATAAAATGCTTACAATGCACTGTTCCACATTATTACGCACAGTAAGTTTCAAAACACTTTATAGGTTGTAAAGAACTGAAAATTGTCATTTGTTGTGTTTGCAGCATATTTACTGAAATCAAAAGCTATTTCGAACAAACTTTTAACAACATTTTCACACATTTTAACCGGTCACGTTATATTTTAACATAGGACCCCTTATTTGATAGCAGCTTCACAAGTCTTGCATCCATTGAACTTGTGAGTTTTTGGACAGTTTCTGCTTGAATTTGTTTGCAAGATGTCAGAATAGCCTCCCAGAGCTGCTGTTTGGATGTAAACTGCCTCCCACCCTCATAGATCTTTTGCTTGAGGATGCTCCAAAGGTTCTCAATAGGATTGAGGTCAGGGGAGGATGGAGGCCACACCATGATTTTCTCTCCTTTTATCCCCATAGCAGCCATTGATGCAGAGGTATTCTTTGCAGCATGAGATGGTGCATTGTCATGCATGAAGATGATTTTATTACGGAAAGCATAGTTCTTCCTTCTGTACCAGGGAAGAAAGTGGTCAGTCATAAATTCCACATACTTTGCAGAGGTCACCTTTACACCTTTGGGGCCCCTAAAGGGGCCGACCAGCTCTGTTCCCATGATTCTGGCCCAAAACATGACTCCACCACTGCCTTGCTGATGTCGCAGCCTTGTTGGAACAGGGTGGCCGTCCACCAACCATCCACTACTCCATCCATCTGGACCATCCAGGGTTGCACGGCACTCATCAGTGAACAGGACTGTTTGAAAATTAGTCTTCATGTATTTTTCTGCCCAATGCAGCTGTTTCTACTTGTGAGCATTGGTTAGTGGTGGCCGAATAGAAGGTTTATGCACAGTTGCAAGACTCTGGAGGACTCTACACCTTGATGTCCGTGGGACTCCAGAGGCACCGGCAACTTCAAATATCTGTTTGCTGCTATGTAATGGTATTTTAGCAGCTGCTCTCTTGATCTGATGCATGGATTTGGCAGAAACCTTCCTCAATGTGCCTTTATCTGCACAAACCCGTCTGTGCTCTGAATCAGCCACAAATCTCTTAATAGTGCAATGATCACGCTTATGTTTTCATGAAATATCTAATGTTTTCATACCTCGTCCAAGGCATTGAACTATTTCACTCTTTTGGCAGCAGAGAGATCCTTTTTCTTCCCCATATTGCTTGAAAATGGTGCTCTGCTTAATAATGTGGAACACCCTCCTTTAGTAGTTTTTCCTTAAATTGGGCTCACCTGCCAATCTAATTATCACAGGTGTCCGAGATTGTTTTCAGTGATCAAAAGAGCCCTGACACACAATGCCATCCATGAGTCAAACTGAAAAACAAAATATTTAATCTTTGTGACACTTAAATAGAATTTGCATAATAATTTGGAACAGGGTGTAGATACAGACGTATTTTAGCATATAAGTAAATACATAGCCATTTTCAAGTAGTTGTACTTGATTAAATTACCAATAGAAAAAATAGTAGGAAATACTTTTCGCTTACCTTTTCACTTACTTAGTAATAAACATGTCTTCTAGTACAGTGAATTGCATTAGACTTGCTACTTTGTTTAGCATATTTATTTGAATTAGGGCAAAACAAGCATGCAGGTTATCAACCACTTGTAAATCCATGCAGATTTTCGATTACACTGCTCTTGTGTTCCTGGAACACACAACCGACCACTCTAAGCTTTCAAGCTTTTTTGTTGGCCTTATTTGACAGATCTTATGATTGCAATTTATTTGATGCCCAATTAAGGTTAAAGTCAACATGTCACAAACCTGAGCAGTTGAAACTGATCGTATGAAAAGAAAACACACAAGTTGCTTTTGATGAAATCACATGTCAAAACAATCTAAAGCTAAAAATATATGCAAACCTCCCCCAAACATGTTACGTTTAGCCCTTCCCCATTCTACCTGTCAATCCATCTTATTAGGTAGAGAGGCTGTCCATCATATTAAAGTAACAATAGGAAAAGCTTCAGGGATGAGGACAACTTTTTGCTGGAATAGTCCAAAACATCATGTATATTATCCTACCTATAGCTCTACTTCTGTTGATTGTTTTGACATGGTGTTTTGACTGGAGAGGATGCCTGCTTATGCAGTTTTTATGACACATCAGTATATATTTCCTGGGTTGGTGAACTGTAAACATTCCTGCTTTATACAGTTCTTCATATTCACAACTGTGTTTAAGGGAAACCATTGGTTTGTAGTTAATTCTGCTTATATATTTAACCTTTTTAAACTGATGTTTAAAAACTGTTTATAAATAAATATTTATATGCATCTTTTCATGTTTACCCATTAAAAAGAAAAGATTATTTATTTTTTAGTCCTGACCATAATAAAGAAAAACAAAATATGCAAAACCACTTTACACTTTCTTTATATTCTTTAGTGAGGCATGTAATGTAAACTAGAAAGTTATCCTATAAATTGTACTTTATAACACTTGGAGATTATATTCTACAGATAAGAGTACACAAACCTCTTCACGCCGACAGTGTGCAAATATGCAGCCTCTCAGAGGCTGGGCCTTGACGCCGAGCGGCCACGTATTTGCGTACCATTTATAAACAAACGTCCTGAGAGCGTGTGCCCTGCGCACTCCCAGCGCATGTGTCGGTGTCCCACGGAAAGGTTCAAATCTCTCCTTGCGATCGGTACCTTTCCGATCATTTGACTGCCGTGGCAGCCAATCGTGGCGGTCACATGCCCCTATAACCCGCCCCGCCTCCCGGCGGCAGAAACCCCTTAAAGGGCCAGCAGGCGCGCCAGCATGAAGGGGATAAGCCTCATACACACAATAAGAATATCTGACAAATGATCGTTCGTTTTGGGGTTTTCTTGTGCATG